TATGCTAATGAAGCCCGGGAAATTCAAATCCCGGGCTTCATTAGCAAGTGCGGTATGCATACATTACCCTCCTAGTTCGAACTAGGAGGGTAGTGTAGACATACCCTGGGAGCCGCGCGGGCCCCCGGCCGCAGGACGCGGCGCTCCTCCCATGTCAGGGATGGATGGTGGCTGGTGACAGGACCCTATGCTCCGTGGTGCACACTCCCTACCCCACCCCCCACTCAGAACCCCTCGGCCCCACCCCCAGCCAATGGATTTTGTTATGAGCACAAGTATGAAGGTGATGAGTCGCACGTCCCTTCCATATCACGTCCCCTCCGTGTCACACGTCTCCTGTGTCGCACGTCCCTTCCATATCACGTTCCCTCCGTGTCACACGTCTCCTGTGTTGCACGTCCCTTCCATATCACGTCCCCTCCGTGTCACACGTCTCCTGTGTTGCACGTCCCTTCCATATCACGTCCCCTCCGTGTCACACGTCTCCTGTGTTGCACGTCCCTTCCATATCACGTCCCCTCCGTGTCACACGTCTCCTGTGTCGCACGTCCCTTCCATATCACGTCCCCTCCATGTCACACATCTCCTGTGTCGCATGTCCCTTCCATATCACGTCCCCTCCATGTCACACGTCTCCTGTGTTGCACGTCCCTTCCATATCACGTCCCCTCCGTGTCACACGTCTCCTGTGTCGCACGTTCCTTCCATATCACGTCCCCTCCGTGTCACACGTCTCCTGTGTCGCACGTTCCTTCCATATCACGTCCCCTCCGTGTCACACATCTCCTGTGTCGCATGTCCCTTCCATATCACGTCCCCTCCATGTCACACGTCTCCTGTGTCGCACGTCCCTTCCATATCACGTCCGTCTCCTCTGTGTCGCACGTCCCTTCCATATCACATCCCCTCCGTGTCTCACGTCTCCTCTGTGTCGCACGTTCCTTCCATATCACGTCCCCCCCGTGTCTCACGTCTCCTCTGTGTCGCACATCCCCACCAGGTCACATCCCCTCCGTTTCGCATCCCCTCCTGCTATGTCACATGTCCCCTCCATGTCGCACGTCCCCTCCGTGTCGCATCCCCTCCGTCCCTGCTATGTCACCTGTCCCCTCCGTGTCACACATCCCCTCCGTGTCACACGTCCCCACCGTGTCGCAAGTCCCTGCTGTGTCACGTTCCGTCCATGTCGCATGTCTCCTGTGTCACACATCCCCTCCTTGTCATCTCCTCTCCGTGTCGCATGTCCCCACCATGTCACATCCCCTCCGTCTTGCACCCCCTCCGTGTTGCATGTCCCTGCTATGTCACATGCCCCCTCCGTGTTGCATCCCCTCCGTGTCGCACGTCCCTGCTGTGTCACACGTCCCTCCGTGTCACACGTCCCCACCGTGGAGCAAGTCCTTACTGTATCACATGTCCCCTCCATGTCGCACGTCTCCTGTGTCACACATCCCCTCCTTGTCATGTCCCGTGTCACACGTCCCTTCTGTGTCACATCCCCTCCATGTCGCACCATCCTTCTGCACTGGTGCACATAACAAAATTCCTTCTCCTCCGGGGATGGGGAATATCTGAGAAACCTGGAACAGCCTGAATTCCGTCATGCCTGGTGCTCGCAGGCCCAGCTGCCGCTGCTCCAGGGCGCACCCTGGTGCTAATGGTGGTCGGGGCCTGGCGCTGGGACCTGGGGGCTGCTCTCAGGGAGGAGCGACAGAGCCTGACTCGGGCTGCACCTCGTTCTTCTCCAGGCTGTATTCCTCCATCATCTTATCCCCCTGCTCCTGGAAGGTGATGATGATCAAGGCCACAAAGATGTTCACGAAGAAAAAGGGGAAGACCACGAAGTAGACCACGTAGAAGATGGACATCTCCATGCGATAGCCGGGGCTAGGGCCCTGGTTCTCATAGGTGGCATCCACCGAGTGTTTGAGGACCCTGAGGGGGAGGGAGGAAGGAATGGGGAGCGGGAGACCGAGGGCGATAAGGAAGGGTGGGAGAAAACCAACGGCGGCAGCAAAGTGCGACCCACCCACGGGAAATGCCCATCCCTGGCCACGCTCGGGTGAGACTCTGGCCACCTGCACGCGCAAGGGCCAGACCCAGCACAACAGACCAGAACTGGGTACAGAGACCAGCTCGGGGGCGGGCCCTGCAGGGAACAGAACCCGAGACGAGCTCAGCCACTTGCCCCCCTCCCTTTTGCTCCCCGGCTCCCGTGCGACAGGGGAAACCGAGGCATGGAACAGGGCTAGGACTTGCCTTGGGTTTGTGCCCAAGTGGGACCTGATTCTGATCTCAGTCACACTGCTGGGAACCTGGATCCACAGCCATGTGAACGGGCACGGGATACGGCCCCGCATGGTTCACCCAGAAAACCGGGGAGACCACGTAGTGTGGACAGGGACAGGTGTTTATTTGGGGCTCATCTGCCGTTGCCCTCCGTAGGTCTGCAAGCACCGGACAGAGGTGGGCAGGGTTGTTGTCCCCATTTTAGGGGGGACTGAGGCCCGAGTGCGGGGTCGGGGAGGGAAGGGCTAACCCCGGCGGCAGTGCCTTACTGTGGCCAGCCTTCCCCCGTGGACACGGTGAAGAGCGGCAGGAGGGGCCCCCGCACGTTGTCCTAGGGGGCCACTCCCGCCTCTGCGCCTTCACTTCGTTGTCCTTCTCGTAGACCAGGTACTCGCCCCTGGGGGCGCAAGAGATGCCGTCAGCTGGAGGGCCAGCGCCCGGCCCCGCGCCCTCCGGCCCGCCCCGAGCTCACAGGTGTGGCAGCAGATCCAGAGTGACTATGGAGTCACGCTGGCTGGGAGAATGGGAGTGGGCCCCTGGTCAGGCTGGCTTCAGGCTTAGGTAACGCCGCTGCCGGGGGCTCAGTTCTCCTCCACGCCTGAGCAGAGCTGAGAGCTGGGGGGCTGGCAGGAACCCCCCACCACCTGGCCCCGTGGAATTGAACCTGGCGCCAGGTCTTAAATGGCAGAGATAAGGGTATGTCTACACTAGCCCCCTGGTTCGAAGTAGGGAGGCTAATGTAGGCATTCGAAGTTGCAAATGAAGCCCGGGATTTAAATACCCTGGGCCTCCTTTGCATGTTCCCGTCCGATTGCTATTTTGAAATTCCACTAGCCCGAAGTAACTGCCCACGGCTACACGCGGCAGTGAAACGGCAATTCGAACTAAGTCCAATTCGAATCCAGGAGGAGTAACAGTTCATTCGAACTAAGGACTTAGTTCGCGTGTAGCCGCGGGCAGTTACTTTGGGCTAGTGGAATTTCAAAATGGCGACCGGACGGGAACATGCAATTGCTATTTTGAAATTCCACTAGCCCGAAGTAACTGCCCACGGCTACACGCGGCAGTGAAACGGCAATTCGAACTAAGTCCAATTCGAATCCAGGAGGAGTAACAGTTCATTCGAACTAAGGACTTAGTTCGCGTGTAGCCGCGGGCAGTTACTTTGGGCTAGTGGAATTTCAAAATGGCGACCGGACGGGAACATGCAAAGGAAGCCCGGGATATTTAAATGCCTCCATTAGCCTCCCTAGTTGGAACCGGGGGCTAGTGTAGACAGACCCTAACTGTCTCCAGCGCCACTCGGGAGGCACTACCCTCCATCCCGGGCGCTACGCCGGAGCGCAAGGAGAGTCCGGCCGCAACTCTCCAGCGTCAATCCGAACTCGTCCCCTTGGCGCCCATGCAGCCACGGCCAGTTACGCCAGCTGGGACCTGGCCCCCCACCTCCGAGGGAGCGCCCTCAATCGACACCCAGGGGCCCTGAGCCCCGCGATCCAGCACAGCGGCGCCGCCTCACGCCAGGCCTCCCACGGGCGGGGGGAGGAAGCAGGACATTGCCCTTCCGCCCCCCCACGAACCCGGCCTTGGCTCCCTGGCCTGGGGCGGGGGCTGAGCCGGGAGCACCATGATCCCAGTCTAAGGGATGATGAGGGATCAGGAGTCAGTCCTCTGAAATCGCCAGCGCCAAGCCAACCCAGGGGCTCGTCTACACTGCACCCGGCGCTTGGAAACGCTGCGCGTGTCATCCCTGGTTCTGAAGCTGGGCGCTCGTCTGGAGATAACCCGGATTGCGGGCGCCCTGCTCCTCGCGGGGACGTGGGAAGAGCGCGCCCAAACGGCGCGGGATAGCGCTGCAGTGTGGGCGTAGCCTAAGGGACAGGGATGTGAAGGGGTAACTGGTTACCCAGAAAGCATCACCAGTACTGGGTACCGGTTAACCAGCACCTGGGAGCAGCCCCCCCGGGATCCCACTTAATTGATTAACCAGGATTGGAGGGTCCTAGCATTGGGCCAGCAGTGTCGCTCTGCAGCCAAGCCGGGGAGCGTCGCCCCGCCTGCACCGGCCCAGCGGGGGAGGGCTCCGTACCGACAGTCCTTCTCAAACTCCTTGGACTCGTCTGTGCAGTAGAAGAACTTGCCCTTGAAGAGCTGCACGGCCACCACGGCGAAGATGAACATGAAGAGCATGTAGACGATGAGGATGTTGAGCACGTTCTTGAGCGAGTTCACCACGCAGTCAAAGACAGCCTGGAACAGACGGGGGCTGTGACGGGGGCAGGCCGGCGGGTCCCGGCCCGATCTGCTCCGCCCCCAGGCTGCCCCACTTTCGGACGGAACCAGCCCGGCCTGGCCCCGCAGGGGACTTGCCTGACGGAGGCAGGGCCAGCCCCGGGGCTAGAGCGCTGGGCCGCAGGGCCCTTCTCCAACCCACAAGACTGGCCAGAATCAAAGCCAGGAGTCCTGCTGGCGCCAGCCGCTCCGTCCCCTCGCCAGGGACCGGGTCCCGTGTCCTGTCGCCAGCCCCGGAAATCCCGACACCTACTCGGGCAGCCCCGGCCCCTCACCCCCCAGCACCTACCTTGAGCTTCGGCAACCGCTTGATGGTTTTCAGGGGCCGGAGGACGCGGAGGACGCGGAGGGACTTGATGGTGTTAATGTCCTTCCCTTTGCTGCTGCCTCTGCAGAGACACGTTGGGCGGGAGAACAGAGAGAGAGGCCATGAGGCCCAGGCCCTGAGGGCTCCTTGGGGCCCAGGGGCCAGTCCCTTGGGCACGGGGCACCCGTCTGCTAGTGGGGGATGGGTTCTTGGGGCACCCCCACATTGCACCCGGTCACTGGGCGATCTCTAGCCCCTCTCCTCAGCAGCAGCCACGAGGGGCTGTTTGCAGTGACACGCCACCAGCCCGGCCCTTCTCTCTTCTGGATACGGCCACACGCGAGAAACTAATCTACATACGCTCTGCATTCTGACTGTCCACCTGTGTATCTGCTGTGTCCGTCCGTCCATCCACGGACCCGGGCCCTCGACCTACCCTCCCCTGCTGTCTGCCCATCCACACATCCGTCCATCCACCCATGGATCTGTGCCCTCGACTTACCCTCTCGTTCTGTCTGCCCATCCACACATCCGTCCATCCACCCACGGACCATGCCCTCGAACTACCCTCCCCCGCTGTCTACCCATCCACACACCCGTCCATTCACCCACAGACCGTGCCCTCGAACTACCCTCCCCCGCTGTCTGTCCATCCACACATCCGTCCATCCACCCACGGACCCGTGCCCTCGACCTACCCTCCTGTGCTGTCTGTCCATCCACACACCCGTCCATCCACCCACGGACCGTGCCCTCGAACTACCCTCCCATGGTGTCTGTCCATCCATCCACGGACCCATACAGCTACTCGACCTACCCTCCCCTGCTGTCCGTCCATCCATCCACAGACCCATACACATACTCAACCTACCCTCCTGTGCTGTCTGTCCATCCACACACCCGTCCATCCATCCACGGACCCGTACTCCTACTCGACCTACCCTCCCATGGTGTCTGTCCATCCATCCACGGACCCATACAGCTACTCGACCTACCCTCCCCTGCTGTCCGTCCATCCATCCACAGACCCATACACATACTCAACCTACCCTCCCCCACTGTCTGTCCATCCACACACCCGTCCATCCACCCACGGACCGTGCCCTCGAACTACCCTCCCCCGCTGTCTGTCCATCCACACACCCGTCCATCCACCCACGGACCGTGCCCTCGAACTACCCTCCCCCGCTGTCTGTCCATCCACACATCCGTCCATCCACCCACGGACCCGTGCCCTCGACCTACCCTCCTGTGCTGTCTGTCCATCCACACACCCGTCCATCCATCCACGGACCCGTACTCCTACTCGACCTACCCTCCCATGGTGTCTGTCCATCCATCCACGGACCCATACAGCTACTCGACCTACCCTCCCCTGCTGTCCGTCCATCCATCCACAGACCCATACACATACTCAACCTACCCTCCTGTGCTGTCTGTCCATCCACACATCCATCCATCCATCCACCCACGGACCATGCCCTCAACCTAACCTCCCGTGGTGTCTGTCCATGCACACATCCGTCCACCCACCTACCCATCCAAGGTGTCCTGCCTATCTAGGATGTCTCTCCGTCTGTCCATGGACAGAGCCCAAGGTTTTTCTGGCTGTCCAGCTCCCAGTCCATGCTGGCTGGGTCACCCTAAGCGCTGTCCCGCTGTGAGCCGTCTTGTCCCCAGAAATCCCACAGCTTTGGGGAGTGCAGCGTGATTTGCCCGGCTGACCGGACTGGAGAAGACACAATCCAACACAGCCCGTCTCCACTGCAGCAGCCACCAGAAACTCCCCGACTCCTGCTAGAAAGCCCCGTGCAGCCCGTCCTCCCTGGGCCATGTGGAAAGGCTGCAGGTCTCTCACTCTTGGTCTTACAAGGAATTTCCACAGACCCAGCAGCACTTACCACCAAGAGAAAAGTGGAAGAACGACACCTCCACTGGGAGGGGCCCTCACCAGGTGCCTGCTCTTCTACAGCCTCTTTTATCCAAGGGCCTCAGAGACCTTTACCAAGGTCGGGATCACTGTCCCCATTGCACACATGGGGAAACCGAGGCACGGGGAGAGGGAATGACTCACCTAAGGCTACTTCAGGTTTCTGACTCTCTGCTCTAACCAGCAGGGCACGCTGCCACTTGGAAGTGGAACAGGACCCAGGAGCCCGGCTCTCAGGTCCCTGCACTAGCCGAGAAGTAAATAGCCCCTGCTTCTCGCCACAGGCAGGGTCATGGAGTGAAAGGGGCTGGAGCCTGAACACGCACAAGGTGCAAGGCCCGCAGCTCCAGCACGCCCCCTGCCCAGCGAGCTCTGTCACGGGGAGCCCTCGTGGCCCATTCACGGCGGCCAATGAAAAGGGACGGGGGCCCCCGACTCTGGGGGCGGTGCTGGTTGGGAGCCAGTGACAGCTGTCCCCCTAGGAACAAGGCTGAGACCCAGCACACTTGTTCCTCGTGCAGGCCTCATTATCCCCCTTTGTAGCTGGGGAAACTGAGGCAGGGAGCAGCTCTGCAACCTGCCTGAGGTCGCTCTGGGAGTTCGCAGCCCGGGCCCACGCAGAGCCCAGGAGACCTGAGGCTGAGAAAATCCCTGCTTCCAATTCGCTGCACACTCCGAGCCTGTGTCCCAGGCGGGGGGTGGGGGGGACTGGCGGCCTTCCAGCCCCGGGTCTCAGCACAGACTAACCCGGCGCGCTCAGCTCCTCTTTCCCCAGCAGCCTGGCCAGACGGCTCTAGCGTAATCCAGCGTCCGTGGGCCTGGGACGGGGCCAGGCAACGGTGGCTGAGCGGGGCCCAATCTTGCTCTGAGCCAGCCCCAGCCTGGAGGGACGGAGTGGGACTGTTTCATCCCACAGGGCTTCCTGCTGCTGCTGGTGGCTGGGCCGCCCTGCCGCTCCCAACGCCGTGTCCCCACTGCCCCCGGAGGGGACTCTGCAAACGCCCACCCCCCTGGGGCCTCCGTCAGTCCTGCCCCCTGCAGGGAAGGGGAGAGTGACGCTCGCCAAAACCCACTTCTCCTGGCTCCCCCAGCATTCCTGGCTCCCAGTTTCCCCTGCTCCAACCACTAGGTCCCACTCCTCTCCCAGAACTGGGAATTGAGCCCAGGCACCCTGCCCCCCAGAGTCCCCAGACACCTGGCAATAGCACCCGGCACGCGGCTCCCCACCCTTAGCACCGGACTCCACCCTGGCCCTTGTGCAGGGCGCAGCTTTCAAAGGCGCAGGGCTCCGCCCACAGAGGGCCCCCGTCCCGGCACAGAGACGGAGGCAGCGCGGTGCCGTGTGCCCAGGGGAGGGAGATCTGGCAGGCGTCCAGCGGAGGGGGTGAAGACAAGGACAGACCTGAACGAGCGATGGCCAGAGCCCCCCACTCAAAGCAGCGCATGGCCATGAGCACAGGGAGCTAGAGAACATGGAGCAAATGTGGCGAGAGAGAGCGAGAGACTTTACCGTGAGCTGCTCCTGTGTCAGGTGGCAGTGGAGGGGGAAAGACAAGAAGTGAGACAATCAGCGAGAACAGACGAGACACCCCAACAAAAGCCACATGGGCTGCCCCCCACCCGCGCTGCTCGGACAAGCCCCAGCTCAGAGCTCCGCGCCCTCGCGCCCCCGCTCTTGTGTCTCCCAGCCAGGAGATGGACCCAGCTGGGCTGGTGTCAGCAGTGCCTGAAAGCCAGGTCAAGGCCTGACAATGGGAGCTAGGCTCTGGTACCAAACAGGGCATTTTGTGTGAGACTGAGCGTTAAAACTGTGAGCAGAGGGACAAATCCTCAGGGTTTACTCCTCCCTTAGCTGGTGTTCACTCCCTTCCTTGCTCTGGGTTGGCTTTCCCTTACGCAGACAAAGGTACTAGTGAAGTCAAATGAATTGAGGACAGCAGACCAAAACTCTGAATTCCTTACTCTAGGCTTACTCACTCCCTACTCCAGGCTTACTCACTCCCTACTCCAGGGTTACTCACTCCCTATTCCAGGCTTACTCACTCCCTACTCCAGGCTTACTCACTTCTCACTTGGGCAAACTCCCAGTGAAGTCAGATAATTGAGGGCACTGTAAATCAGTGGCACTGGATTGACTTCAATACAGATGTGTTTACTGACACCAGCTTTTGGCCCCAGGGGGCACGGCCTCTGCTCTGACATTGGTGCAGCTCTGCGGACTAGTGGGAAGGGGCCCTGAGTTTCTGGCGGTGTGGAAGGAGCATCAGGCCACCCAGCTAAGCCCAAGCGTAGCAACCAGGGCTCCTTTCCCCAGGCCTGGAGGGGCTGGCACTGGAGCAGCAGCATGAGCGCGGTGGGGGGCAGCAGACAGCCCCCAGTGACACAGCAAGGCGACACAGCAGAACATCCAGACAGATCCTTTTCGTGTGTTACCAATGAAACTGACATGAAACAGGGTGAAATGAACCAGGCTGGGGGGGGGAGGCAGAGAACTCTCTTCAGGAGAGGCAGGAGGCCTGGAGGGGCTGGCACTGGAGCAGCAGCATGAGCGCGGTGGGGGGCAGCAGACAGCCCCCAGTGACACAGCAAGGCGACACAGCAGAACATCCAGACAGATCCTTTTCGTGTGTTACCAATGAAACTGACATGAAACAGGGTGAAATGAACCAGGCTGGGGGGGGGAGGCAGAGAACTCTCTTCAGGAGAGGCAGGGGGA